GGGGGGGAAAGACTGGGGGTGAAGGTGGAGGGGGGAAATGTGTTATTATACTACTACTGTGTTTAGAGAAAGGAAAAGAAGAAAAAAAGGTTTTGGGGGGTTGGGTTACTTGATTACATATTACAAGATAGATAGATGGTAAGTTAGTATGCGACATGTTGTTGTTGTTGCTGTACCGCGGATAAAAAAAAACGACGTATATTTTGGCAGGGAAAAAAAAAGAAAAGGTTGTCAAGAATAGAAATTAAGGTTTTTCAAAATCTTGGGATCACGGACGTGAATGCGTATGTAGTCACACACGTCACATCTCCCCCCATAGCGCGCCTATTGCGTTTATCATGGGGGGGGGGGGGGGGTTCATTTCCCACTCTTAGGGTAGTTATTCGGATCTAGATTCGGGTTTACCGCCAGTGCCTTTTTTTTCTTCTATCCCTGATCCCATGCTTTCCCACCCCCATCTGCATGCATACATCCGTGGTCGTGGCTACCTTCCTAATTCTCCGCTTCCCCTTTGGTACCTGCATCTACACTCAACTAATTATCCAAGTAACGAACGGGGGAAAATAAGCAATCATGCTAGGCGCGGGATCCGGGTTTAGCGCGATATGCGGTGCGCTGTGGGCTCTTTTGGCATACATGTCCAACACACGGTCCCATTGACAAGCTTGGTGAAAAAATCCCATGGTAAACTGAACTACGCATAGACTTATATGTACACTACCAATTAAGCGATCTGGCGCGTCACCCGGATCTAGCACGGTGTGCGGTGAGGCTATGGTGGGTAAAACGTGAAGATCCAAGGGTACACACGGTCCCTTACTTTACCGTCCTCGACCACATAGTCGTACTATTATGGTACTTGCCAAAAGTAAGCAGTCTGGCGCCGAACCCGAATCTGGCGCGCGTTGCGATGCGGATGCGGATGCGGTGCGGTGCGGTGCGGTGCGGTGCGGTGTGTGGCTATCATAAACATTTCTCTCGTTACACACGGTCTCCCCCCCTTGACCATGTTATCCCACAGAGCACACCGCACACGGCGCCAGACCCGGGTTCCGCGCCTGGTTGCTTACTCTTTCGTGCTTCCATGGCGTGGGCTAAGATGATGTGGACATTGGGAAGCTTGGCTAAGCGTACACACGGGTCCCTGAACTTACGGAGAAAGAGCACAGGACATATGCAGGGCAGGAGCTCGTACGAGGTGCGGCTGTAAGTTAAACCCCCCCTCCCAAGATCACGTGGATGGATATATATGTAAGGTGGACTGTGTATATGGTATGTGGGTGAGATTCACCGATGAGGCTGGGGTGTGAGTAAATCTTATGTTGTAGTTGAGGCGAAAAGAGGGGGGAGAATGAGGAAGGGAGGGAGGGAGGGAAGGAAGGAAGGTAAAGTCAGAATCTTGTCGGGTGGACCCTGAGGAATGATTGTTTGGTAGAAGGGGGGGTTATGTAAGTTTTTGCTGGGGCAAGGTGTATGCATGTATGTATGCATGTGAATGTGTACTCTGTAAACTATTGGATCGAAGTCGGAGTTGTAAGATACAAACATCCCTGTTTTTGTTGCGCAGCGTGGGGTCCAGGGGGGTGTGTATCTTACACGTAAGTATGAGCTTGGCGGGTGAACTTTTGCCTCTCACCCTGATGCTGTTTGCCGGAACGTGGCCGTAAGCATGTAAGATATTAGTGTCGATGTTTTTTTTGGCGTCCAGATTGGATGTAGTGTGTACGGTGTATCTTACATATACTAATTGGCTTGGCAAGTGTCACATGTCGACTTTTGGAACGTGACCCTGATGCTGTTTGCCGGTGTAGTACTCGGCGTGTATCATACGGATCCCTGGTCCCCGTCCTTGAGACTAGAGGGTAAATACTAGATTGGCGTATCTTACATTACAGATCCCTGATGTTGCTCACTCCGGATGCGGGCGTGGGCATGTGTATCTTACACATCCCCGTCCTGGTCAATGTTTCCATACCAGGCCTTGTTGGGCAATGGTGTGGCCTGGTAACTTGCAGAATGTTCCCCTGGACCCCATTCGCTCCATTCGCCCCATGTGAGCATGTCTTGTACTCGATGTACTTGTATCTTACATGGTTTCCGCACACATGTCCCCGCCCCCGGAATCTCGCGGATTTGGTTCCACTCCCCGGCCCCCTGCGGGAACTAGGATGGAGATTTGAAATTGCTGGTGTGACTTGCTGGCAGGCCTGGGCGGGAAGTGAAGTCGCCGTCGTGAATTGGAACAGGAAGGGATCAAGGATCAATTGACAAGTCGATGTCGGACACCCTTTAACTCCGAATTGTCCGACTCGTCTTACCGTTGTTTAGAAGGTGAGAAATGAGGAGATGCAGCTCTTGGTCCCTTTCCTAGGTCTTGAGTCTGGGGTTCAGCTTGGTTGGAGGGGCGGCACGCGGCTCGAGAGGGGTGGGAGATTCTCGGTTCATCCCCCAGGGCACCGAGGAGAATAGGGTTCGCGGGGACGAGGGCTGGGGGGGGGGGCTTGGGTTTGATGAAAAATGATGCCGGGCTTGATTTGCGGAGTCAGGACTCTTGACATCCTGGGCAAAATGGGTTCGGGAATCAACAACGGCTATTGAATTACTTGGGTGTGTTTTGGAGGTGACATCGTCGTGGCCGCAAAAAGGGAGCACATAAGTATGTGGCAAGTCTTGTTTTGCTTGAACCCTGTATTTGTTGAGTGAAAATCCGGTGATGTATATCTCCATGGAAGTACTGCTTTGCTTGTTGTATGTTCCTTGCATTCTGGTGGAAGAGAATGTACACCATAGTCTTCGTGTGTTCTAGAAGGATAGTCAGAGACAGTACCGTTTTGAGGCTCAAGTGCCGAATTGTGGGGGGGTTGTGAGGGGGTTGTGAGGGGGGGGGAGATGGGAGTGGGTGGAAAGGGTACTATGGGATTACCAATGCGCCGAACGTCTTTACCAAGCTCCAAGTGCGTTATCGCAGCCGCTGCTGTGCTTACACTACACCAATGCCATGCCATCGGAAGCACCTTGTGTCAGTGCCATTGTGGTGACTTACTGCGCAAGTACTTAGTTGACGGGAGAAATGGAGCAGCAGTGTTGGCATGGTCTGGCCGACGTTCACCCGTCTGACGCTGACGACGCGCCCAGCGGCATCTGCCATGGCTCTCGACGCACGAATCGGATCCTCGCCCACGGTGCCTTTTTCCCGCTGACCGCCCGTCAATAACATGTCACTACGGCTTTGCAATTTGCTGTTGCTTTCCCAAGCCCATGATGCTGGTTTGACCGGCTGCCGATCAGGGTCGTTCCTTATGTAGCCACGCTTGGCTCTGCAGGTAACCGGCACCATGCCAAAGGCGTTGACGAACCCATGGCACGCGGGGGTGGTGGCTATAGAAATCGTACGATTCTGGCGTCATACCACGCAACAAGATGAAGGTAGGAAAACTCACCCATTTTCCACGTCCAAGGAGTCGTTCGGCTTGCCTTCCTGTCATCGTGCAGGTGTCTCGGCCTACGGAGCCGCACATGCACTGCATCACCACTGCCACCCACACATAGACACGCACACATGGACACGCGCATGTCTAGTATCCACCCTCACGCACACCCGTTCTAGACAGCTTCTTCTGCCTTTCTCTTGCGTGTCCACGACCCAAAACGGCCCGATCCTAGCACGCGCTTTTGTATGCCCGATGCACGGCCAACGAAGAGAGGCATAGATCTGTCCCTTGTGTGTGGGCTGTGCGGGCGGAATCATATCCGGACACATGGTGGGGGGACAACGAGGGCGAACAAGGGGGCAAGGCGGCGAGGCGGCGAGGCGGCGCACATTGGACAGCCACACAACCCGTCCTCTTTTCTCTCCAGTCTCTCTCCCTGGCCATTCTTCCTTGTAAGCGAGCCAACGGGTTGTGGCGCGCCCCAAGCGCCCGACGACGACGGGGGTTCAGGGTGAACGAACCAACGGCTTGCCGAAGATACAACGATACAGAGCAAAGAGCGCGGTGCAGGGCTGCGGCATTGGCTCGGAGGTTTCTCTGATCGGCATGCCAGGCATCTAAGCTATAGTACATCCATACTTCCATAACTGTCTTCATTGGCCTAATGAGCAGAGGCTCGTGAAGCCTTCGGCCTCTCTAATCTGTATATTCGTCAGAAACATGATAATGCGCTCCTCGACTCGGGCATGCCGTCGGCTTCTGCGGCAGTCGAGTGGAGAAAGATGAGGCCCGAAGACTGCTTGGATTGGTGCAAAACGCTCCTCTTGACTGATAGTCCAGTCGTTGTTTTGGAACATGTCATTTGAGGAGAGAAGGGGGGTGGACTCGATGATCCATGTGCACGTTGTACGGAGCGGCGTCGTGTTGTGGCTTGATTGTCATTCGCGAACACGACTGCAACCAGTCTTTTGGCGTGGTGATCCCCCCAGGGCTCCATGTGCGCTCCCGTTCGCCTCTGTGGCGTCGACAAGTTCTTCAACAAGTTGTAATTTTTGCTTGTTAGCCACCCCCAAGTTGTGTTTAACCTTTGCCAAACTATCACTAATCCCAAATCGCCCTTGGTACCTGTTTACACCAGCTGAATAGCCACACTGAACAAAGTGAGATAGGCTCAATCTTAGTGCGGTTACACTACCTAACTGTCAAAAAGGGCCAAAGGACGTTAAGTTTTTTGTCCGGCTTGGAAATCTCGCGTATCGAATAGCTCATGGGAGATGGACAGGATATGTCAAAGGGGACAAGCAGTAGACATTGGCCCGCCGCCGCTTGCTCGGTGCTTTTGGCCGAAAACAAAGACACAGATGCCTTTAGAGGAAAAAACAAGGGCACGCTGCAGTTTACTCGAGTCTGCCCGATTAGGTAAATTTGAGGGGGACGCGGTTTAGGTCCCAAGAGTTTTGACCGATTGATGTACGGCCGTACAGTAGTCGTGGACAGACCTCCATGGTGGACACACAACTCGACACTTCTCGTATGTGTACATACGGACGTCGCACGATGCTGACACCTGGCGAGGATATACACAGGTTCGGTCATTTGCTTTTCTCTCGGGGCAAGCACTCTAATTGCGGCCGCCGAAAGAAAAAAAACGGTTCGCCAGGGCAAAAAAAAAACGAGCTAAGCTCGCGCGTACTCGTCCGTCGCCAAAGTGCTTTCGGAGAGCCTGGGATACGAAACCATTGGCGTGGCTGATATGCGAAACGAGTTCCGCGCCGGGAGAGAGGGGGATTTTTGGCGGGCTGTCTTGTTCTATCGTTTCCAGAAACGCACTAGGAATTTGGCTACGCATATTCTTGCTTGATCAAAAGGCCATTGCACAAGGGCCCTGTCAGCCGCTCGACATGCCCTCCCCAGCAGTTGCGTTCCCGAACCATCGGCCATAGTTTTATCTTTTCCTGGACAGTGACAAGCGCCAGGCTACATGCATCCGAACAAGACTAGCTTGCTCATAGTATATCGCGTCTAATTAATCCCTGTGGACATCGATGATCCGCAAGTCAAGCGTGGTGGAGTCTAGGGGGGCTATTTGGAAGGGTGTGTTTGGGCGCATGGACGTCTTGCTGGTAGGGTTCCTAAACATTGCCGACAAAGGGCTTCCTGGCTATATCGTTCCTAGAACGCTAGGTGGAGCGAATCAAGCGTTACAAATTGGACGTGCTTGGGAAAGAATGACGATGTGGACGGGGTCACTTGATGGCGCGGACCGCATCGAAGGAGGAGGATAAGAACCAGGGGTGCCGCGCTGTTGTTTTTTTTTGTGATCAATCGTTGATGTCTGAGTGTGTCGCCACAAACTCCAGGGATTGGGGTGTCGTTTTTTTTTTCTTGTGAAGGATCTGACTTATTATTGCCTGAACCATCCTTCCCGTCCAGACCCTATCAACAAATATATATACCGTCACATTGAGAAGAAATAAGTGTGCTACAATTACGCCAAAAGCATTGAGCCAGAATTTCGCCAGATTACTACTTGAACGAACGGCTCCCCAAGTCCTCCCTGAAAAAAAATAATCCAATCATGGCTCCCACCACACATTCTGCATTTTTGGACATGCTTCCGCCCGAACTCCGTATAAACATCTACTCGCACCTGCTCGTCGCCTCAACGCCTCTCAAAGGCCAACTCGCGCGACAAGACAAAACATACGACCTGCACACAGCCATTCTCCGAACAAATCGACAAATCCACCATGAAGCGCGATCCGTCTTCTTTGGCAAAAACACCTTTTACATCACATCCATCCCACCATCGTCGTCGCCGCCTCCACCACCATCACCACCGGCACGGAGCGACAGTCAACCCGGCGGAAACGACCATGACGACTACGACGAAGAAGAAGGGTCCGGAGCTTTTGAGCCGCCGCTGCAACTCCGCGATCTCCCACTCGTCCGGCACCTAGAGATAGATTTGCTCTACTACCCACGCAGCATGCAGACGATTCGCGACCGGCGGACGGGCATCTGGAAACCCGTGTGCGTCGGTGCGCAGCGCTACAGCACAAGCTTATCTTATCTCCTTTCCGCCGTCGAAACGCGGCTACTGAGCCTCAAGCTGTGCGCTGACACGCGGCGGTATCTCGATGAGCCTGCTGCTATTGTTGCTGGCATTAGCAATGATTCTAGCAGTGTCAGCAGTAGTAGTTTTAGTGGTGGTGGAGGTGGTAATGCCACAAGCAACCCCAACACCAACGCCGCCGCCAAAGACAACAACGACAGGCTAGAGGCCCAGCGAATACTAACAGGCTTCTACATGGCCGATGCCAATCCGCTATTCCGCAAGGCGCTAGCGCGCCTGCACGTCGCTGACATGGCCCTTCATTTCGACTTTCCGGAAAGTTACTTTGACTTTGTTGTCCTGAAAAGGGTCTTGTGTCGCCAGAACTTGGTCGAGCTAGCAGGCCAGGTGCTCGATGTCAGGTCAGACATCCGCTTCAAGGCCGCGGCTAAGCAAGAGGCTGGTCACGACGACGAAGACGATGGATACGACGTGCCCGACCAGGGCGCTGTTACCTTGATACCCGCTTTTTCTTCTTCTCCTTCGGTCTGATACCATGGTTTTGTCCCTTTCGTCCCTGATGTTTCTTATATCCTAGTGTGTCCTCCTTATTTACTTTTTCTGGCGGAGGTGCCTGATTTATTTTTAGAATTAAAACTTGGTTTAGCGAAACTCGCATCGATGTGCATCTGGTGTATTCTTGGGAGGGATATCCAAGTAGGCGTTTTTCGTTTATTTTATTGTTTTTTTTACTTTTTGCAACATCATGACTAGTTTCGTTCATTGCACAAATATCGTGTAAACAACGAAGAAAAATCCATTCTGGTCACAAGTACATCTACAAAAGATCTACAGCCATAGCGTACGATAGTGAAAAGTCTAACCATCTCTTGTTATTCCACGATACAAACCCCGGGAATGTCCAGCCGGACCCCTCGCGTATACATTGCCATGACATGACGCATCGCCAGAAACCACTAACACCTTTAGCGTGTAGGACTTCCTTCTGGCGTCGGGATGCCGGCGATCTATGAACTAGGGAAACGGGGGACTTTCTTTTTTCTACCTAGCCCGCACTGGTTTCCAGAAGATCACCCTTTGACGTAAACCCTTTAGAGAACCCCGCATGCAACCGAGAAGCATGAAACCGTCGACAAAGATCCACATTAGAATGATTTGCATCCTTCAACATGCACACATTTACGCTCGGTCTTTGTTCAGTTGCACGAGCCCAGATATCGTATGGTGGCTCAGTCACTAAGAGTCTCAATCTCTTTATCGTGAGCACTGAGTAAGGTGGTGGTCTCTTCATCGTCATCACTGAGTAAGTTGATGATCTCTTCGCCATTTTTGGAAAGCTCTTCGATATCTTCCGCTCCAATCAGGTCCTGGTCAAATGCCTTCAAGGTTTTGGCTATGCTGCGGTACAAAGCCTCAGCCATTATAGGCGGGAATGCATTTCCTGCTTGCTTCGTTGCCTCACTTTTTGATCCAGTGAATTGGTAGCTAAGCGGGAAACTTTGAAAGAGAGAAAGCTCTCTTGCAGTGAATGGTCGTGTGCCAGATGGGTGATATGAGGTGGTCCCTCCTGTAGTGATGCAGCCTTTCAGGTATGAGTTCGCACTATATGGCGTTCTAGGAGACGCAAAGAAACGAGGCTGATTGTAGATATCGGTGGCAGCCTCATACGCAAGATTTCTCAAAGGTCGGAGCGCATCCCCGATAGAGACAAGGGGTTTCAGGCCACTACCAGGAGGCCCATGTGTGGGTTTGGGGAAAGGTGCCAGAGGCATCCCGCGCCTAGGTATAGGACATTAGCCTATATGAATAGGAGCAGTATAGCGGGAGTACATACCTAGCAGCAATAATCAGAAGCCGCTTACGTTGCTGCACGAGACCAAATTCTGACAAGTCTTGGATTTTGTATCGTAAGTCGTATCCAGCCTTGCCAATATCGTTAAGCAACGTAAAAAAGTTCTGTTTATGCGCTCGGCTTGTCAATAAACCAGAGGTCTGCTCGAGTGTTGCCACTCGAGGCTTGACTTTCTTTAGTATGGGGCCAATTGTGTATAAGGCCTCGTAATTTTCTTGATCGTTGGGTCCTGGCTGAGTACTAATAAAGATATGACATTAGTACGTACTAAAAGTAGTGAACAAGAAGCAAGAGTACTTACTGCGCAGGACTCCAATAGCAGCATGGAGGGGACAGGTGGAGGACATCTACCCTCCATGCCTTCTTGCTAATACCTGGGGGTGGAAAATCATGTGCATCCATCTTCAACGCATAAGCACTACGGTGGTTCATCTTGTAAGCTTCAATAGCCCGATCATCCTTGTCCAACCCCCAGACAACTGAGTAGCCCGCTTGCAAAGCGCCTTGAGACGCACCACCAACGCCACAATAGACGTCTCCATAGGTTATTTGGTCTTTCTTGTTGCTGAATCTGGCTTTACCTCTTGAAGTGGCCAAACTAGTCGAATCGGCGCGCCTATGACACTTCCTGTTCCTAGAAGTAAGGCAATCTTTAGTAACAATTACGCAATCATCATCATCATCCTCGACTCCGAGAGATATTGCTGTCTTTCGAGATGCACCGGCTTGCGCCATCACATCCACGTTCCTAAGCTCATCTGCCTCTTTTGCGTAAAGATACCGGACGATGCCACTGTATGATTTCTCATGTTGATTCATGTACTGTATGTTGATGACTCTGCAGGTGAGTCTCCCCGCATGGAAGATTTGGAGCTTAATCTCTTCTTGACTGATGCCAATAGGGACAGCCAATCTACCACTAGTCCGGAAACTGAGGAAGGGATATGGCTTGCTTGTGAGTGTGCAGTCACGTATGCGGTAAACTTCGTCGATGTTTACATCTTCCAGCCCAGCAACGAGCGGAGTGCGGTCGTCATGTTCCTTGATACGTAGTACCATTGCAAGCTCATTTAACTTCCCTTTGATAATGTTAGTGCCAACTTTGGTATATGTAGATAGAAGGTCTATACACACAGTCAAATAACTGGCCAAGGTATTTGACACGTCGCATTCGGTAACCGCGAAGCCGGACCTCATCTGTCTCCAAGTTCAAGACGATGTACTTGACACGGAGGAAATCACTACTATGCCTGGTATTGACTTCATGTGTCAAGTGATCACGAAGCTCGACTGTATGATCTGGTCTAATGACTAGACCTTTGCCCAAGCGGTAACTTCCTATCACGACTTCTGAGCGCTGAAGAGAAGGAGCTCTCGCAGGGTCAGGTGCAGAGGCAGTCGAGCTAGTGTGAGACTTATGAGAAATAACCTCAGGCTCCTCATCGTTAGAGTCTACCCGAAGCATTAGTGAAAGATGCAGAGATATTATGTGGAATAGGTTACCATAGTCGATAAGATCAAATTCGCTCTCCTCGTTGTCAATAGGCCTGTCGTCATCGTCATCGAGGACGTAAGGGTGTGATGCAGACATGGCTGAGTGTGGCTATAGCAGTGATATTGCAGCGAGGTAAAGGTGACAGTAGAGAGTTTGTGCGTGGTTCTTGCAGTAGCGAAGGAGCAAAGACAGCCCCACTAATGGGTTGCGGTGAAGTGAAGGGACCAAGTCACAGAGGGCGCCGCTTTGCAGTGAAGGTGAATGTGGCAAGACAAACTAATTTGGAAGGAGCGGTGACAAGCAGGAAAGAGCAGATACAGAGACTGTGAGTCAAGTGGCACAACGAGTCTAGGAACGAGGAAGACGTCCAGGATAATTTACTGCGCCTTGTCTATCTATACAGAAAATGCCAGCCTCGAAGTTCTTGCAAACAACATGCATGTGACGTCACTCATGAGATTGTCTTGTGCACGAACTCCTTCTCCAGCCGGCCGACCTCGTGCTTGAAAGCCTCTACCTCCTTCCAGCAGTCTAGCGGGCGGCGGTCGTGGGTCCTCAGACACGAGACCACGGCCTCCTTCGCCTTTGTAACATCGGCGTCAGCCTGCTCCAGCTTTTTTCTCTGCTCGAGCTTTGCCTTGAGGCGCTCAATCTCCTTGGTGACGCTGTCCCTGCTCATGTCCCTTTGTCTCTGCTTTTCAGCGAGCGTAGAGCTGCTGGATGTGGCGTCTTGGATCTTCTCGACAAGCGAAGGCTCGCTGGGTTGCTGGATCTCGTCCGACAGGTTTTCGCTAATCTTGTTGAAGTTCTGAATCTCTTGGGCGCGCAGTTTTTCGAGTTCAGCTGTCAGACGTTCCTGGTACTGGAGTTCCAATTGTCTTGACCGTGCCGAGTCTGTCTGTTTGCAGTCAGTCGCCGCTGGCCATGTCGATTTGGAGGGTACGCACGAAAGGATTCTTCTGCAGCGAACCGACCAGCTCATTAGAGAAGCTGACGGGGTGATCTCTGCGCGCAAACTGGTCAGCACCCGACGTCACTCTTGTTGCTGGGCCCGTGGCGCGCGGGGGATGCCATTGGTTGGGCGGACATGTACATACGGGGAGAAGACATGCTGCTTGACCTCAGACGAGGGTTTCGAGTTCTCGGCACCCATTGTTGCGATGGTGGGACGGCGGGCGTCGTTGAGCGATGATGCACTTGGTCGAAGAAGTCCGAGTTGAGGCTTGGCCGACAAAAGCACGCTAGCCGCCATCCCTGCACGCCATCCCTCCATGGTCGGCGCGCTGGGAAAACACCATGCAACTTATCGCGACATTCGGCTTTTGTATATAGCGACACCCCCGCCCTTCACTGCCAGCACTTCATGCAGCGATCCTTCCTTTGAGCTTGCGTTATTTATCTCAAGCCATTCATTACAAATTTCTCCTCAGTCTCCACAACTGCGCCCGTTCCCTAATAATAACACTCGCCCCTCTTCCGCCACCCCGCCATGCAGTCTTCGCTGACCAGCTGGCTGAAAAAGTCCAGCTCCGAAAGGCAGCTCAAGCAGCCCCAGCAGCCCCAGCAGCCTCTGAATCTGCCTCTAGTCATGCCACCGAAGACCAATCGTCCACCCCCTCCCCCAAAGTCGGCCTCTGCTCCAACCGGCGCGCCCCTTACCACCACGCCGACGCCCTCTGCCATGGAGAACTGGAATGACATCCCTGATGACTTCCTGCAAGCACCTTCGCGACCCAAGTCCAAGAAGAGTCCTCGCTCATCTCGCGCCGTCACTCCTGTTGCTTCGACAATACCCTCCCCTAATATTCTCCCAGTCCAGCAGCCCCTCAAACCACAGCTTTTCGCCCTTCGTCCTCTGCCACCCAACGTCCAACTCGTGCCACTCACCGAAGACCTCATGCCAGCATTCAAGCGCCTCAACACCCTTACCCTGCCGATATCGTACCCAGAGTCCTTTTATAAGGAGACCATGACGGAGCCGCACCACGGCATCACACTCGTGGCAGTGTGGCACTCGTCTCCTGCAGGTGAAGCTAGTGAGCCTTTAGCAGAGCAGTCGCACCTTGTTGGCGCTGTGCGGTGTCGGCTTCTTCCTTCTTCGCAACTATACATCTCTACTTTAGGCGTACTCGCTCCCTATCGTTCCCACGGCATTGCTATGCACCTGCTACAAGCCATCGTGAAAAAAGCTGTCGACCTTCATAGCGTGCGCTCCGTCATAGCGCACGTATGGGAGGCAAACGAGGAGGGCATGGAATGGTACAAGAAGCGGAGCTTCGATATCGTGGGCAAAGAGGAGGGATACTACAGGAAGCTTAAACCGCAAGGCGCACTACTTGTGCGCAAATGGATAGGCGTGGGGGATTTATTGGATCCCAGTATTTTGCAAAAAGATGGGTTGACTGGCGAGTGAGCTTAGGGTTCTGCTCTTACTCTAGACACTGGCTCCCGTTCAACCTTACCAAAAAGCCCGTCAACAGTCTGGTTGTCTTAACTGTCTAAACCTTACTCGAGTTGCCTGGACCCGGTAATCTGGATCTTTCCACTGTGCATCAGCTCCTCCACTTGTATATTCAGCCGAACCAACATCACGGTATGCCCAGAGGCATGTTTCCTCGTTGCAACCCGGATTTCCCGGATTAGACCCCGATTTACTCTCACTGCTTGCATCGGATAATCTGCTCATGCGCCATGTGCAGAATGCCATTTTCCATAAGCACCACAAGCATTATGTGGGACTGTTAAGTAGACAAGGATGGCCTGATTCTCAATTTGCGGCTAAAACACCTTCCCGCCCAACCGCTTTGAACCCCGATAAGAATAGAATCCACATCAGTTGCAAAGGATTTTACGGTATAGCCGACCTTTGGACGTTGGATCAAGCTGAGTGAGGTAGTGACGAGTTGACCCATTCACAAACCAGGCAACGCGCTACGGTTCATCTCAACATAGTCGATACCATAATCATGGCGTCTGGGATGTGGAATGTGGATGCTGCTGTTTCCATCGGTGCCTAGACTGCATTCCCAATCATGAACACTCCTAAAGGTACCGTTTCCTGTTAGTGCACAAGGACCTCTCATGCACGTCGGATGCTCAGCATCCATCGTGTAGCCACAATATCGGTGAATATCCAGACAAATTAGCCAGACCTCGTATGGCGTTCTGGTCTAGCTAGAATGCTCTTGACAATGGAGCCGCGGACAACCAAAATTCAGAACTAAACCATGTTGCTCGATCCTACAGTTGAAGTCACGACTCTATATAAGATGCTCCCAATGTGAATCGACTAAGCCTTCAGTCAAACGGTCAAAATTGTATCACTTTTTTTTTACCAAGCTTCACATTACCTTACCACCATGTATCTCACTACCGTTGCCATCTTGTACGCGGGCCTTTTGACACTTTGTGGAGCCGTATGTGAACGCCGTTATTTCATGTGCTTCGCTGATCCTGCTACAGGTGCCAGCCGACAACAAAGCTCAACTTGAGCCGCGTCAGACATACATCATAACATGTATTGGAGGGCGCTGCAGCGACAACATCAGTCGGCCAACATCTGAGCCACCAAAGCCAACGTCGAGCAAAGTCACAACGACAACCAAAGTGACGACAACAAGCAAGAAGCCAGAACCGACTCCTACACCGTCAAAGGTCAGTGCATCATTTGTCTACTTACATGACTCAAACCAATCCTTGTTCTCGACGATTAGCGGTGTAGCTAATGAATTCCTCACAGACTACAATCAAAACAAGCACAAAGACTGTAGTCCCACCAACCAAGACTACTACCGAGGAGGTCGGCCCGAGTAGCACCAGATGCCCCGTGCCTCTCTACTACAAGTGTGGGGGTTGGCACGATGGCAAGCCCTGGACAGGCTGCACTCAGTGCGTAAAAGGAGTAAAATGTGTGGAGCAAAACGGTACGTAGATACTTATCATCAAACATGGATTGGTAGGACTAACCTTGATTAGAATGGTACTTCCAGTGCGTTGCGGACAATAGTGTTGAATGAGCATAGGAGGTCAGTTCTGGTTGCTATGTACGGCAGGATCATGAGAAGTACAAGCAAGTAATTCTGCATACTATCATTTATTAAGCTGTCACCTCTTTCAGCATAGACATATCACTCTAAATCTGACATGTCTTCAAAACTTCCAATGCTACAGCTGCATATGAAACCCTCTCTTTTGGTTATTTTTACAAACATATCCGCACGCTTTGGTCCATGTGGAATAGCTTTTATTCATGCTCCATGAGTAAGGCTGATGACCAAGCCTTACATACTACACCTACAGATTGGGGACATGGTGGGGTAAAGTAACAATGGCGTTCCTGGCCTGCCCCACCATTACCAACATGAGCAGACGTCATAAGTAGTCAACAGTCGTTCTGACAGGTACCGCATATTTCGCAATTACTCGATCTACTTTTCCTCTACTTTTGTTTCTTGATTGCTCTGCTCAGTCCCGCATTTCCGTCATTCCAGTGCATATCTGTTCATGACTTTCTCTTGTCATTGAAAACAACGCGACGCATCATCTCTCCTCTGGACACAAGTGCAAACAAATAGCCCAGAAAAATGCCCGACCCACGCGTCTTCATAATCCGCCACGGCGAAACAGAATGGTCCCTGAATGGCCGACACACAGGCGTCTCGGATATCCCCTTGACCGAACATGGCGAGAAGCGTGTCCGAGCAACAGGCAAAGCCCTCGTAGGCGACGACAGATTGATCGTACCTAGCAACTTAGCTCACATGTATTTTACCTTTTCTTTACCACCCACCCACCCGGCTCAAAGACACTGAATAACCTGAGATAAAACAGCTACGTCTCCCCCCGTACACGCGCCCAAAAAACCCTCGAACTCCTCAACCTCGGCTGCAAAGACCGATACCCCTGGTCCCCCTCTTCAGCGCAACAAGAAGACAAACCCGACATACGCACGCACGCTAGGATCGAAATCACAAACTCGGTCCGCGAATGGGACTACGGCGACTACGAAGGCCGCATCACAAAGGAAATCAAGCAAGATCGAGAGAAGCGCGGGTTAGGCTCGGACTGGGACATTTGGCGCGACGGGTGCGAAGGCG